GATTCAAATCTCACAAAGATTTGATAAAAAAATTATTAAGTAGGATTTTTTATGCAGTTAACCACTATTACATGCACATTATATTCATCATCATAAACTGGTTCATAATGACATATGAAAGAAAGGCCATATGAAGTTGGGTTGTGCAGACACAAAGTCAAGACCAGAGGTCCAGGTTCAATTCATGGCTGAGGTGGAAATGGTGGATGTGTTTCCTTACACCTGTTGTCCTGTTCACCTAGCAAGTAGGTACCTGGGTGTTAGTCAACTGGTGTGGGTCACATCCTGAAGGGACAAGCTTGAGGACCCCAATGGAAATAAGACAGACAGTCCCTCAATGACCCACTGTCTTTCTTGGGTTATCCTGGGTGACTAACCCTCTAAGATTAAAAATCTGAACACAATCTTATCTTATTTTAAGGTGGGGGGAAGGGAGTTAGAAGTAGTGAGTTATGTTTTCATATGGTCATATCTTAGGCACTTCAAGCAAGACAAAGACAGGTTGGTTGGTTGCTGGTGGAATAAGGAGGAAGGGTAAAAGGGAAGACAGGTTGGTTGGTTGCTGGTGGAATAAGGAGGAAGGGTAAAAGGGAAGACTATCACTGAATTTTGTAAATATTTATGTCATCTACTGTTTGACCAAGTGCAATTATTTTTGGTATATGCTTATGAATTGTGGATTATTTCCCTGAATTCTGTTTTGCACAGGGATTGAGATTTAATTTTGTATTTAAATTTTTCCTCAGTTGTTTTGTGACCGCACTTGCGGTAAACTCAAAATTTTTGCAAATATTGGTCAAGAAATGTGAAATTAGCTGAATCTCATTATTATTATAATCAAAAGAGGCGCTAAGCCACAAGGGCTATACAATGCTGCAGGGTAGGGAAGGAAGCGAGGGTATTGGGCAGCAGAAGGGGGGAGGGATGATCAGTAGGTTACAGAAAACAGCGGGGCAGGGGATAGTGCGGGGGTAGAGGTTAGCACGAGATTGAGGTAGAAAGGGCTGAAGGTATCATCAGAGTTTGTGAAGTAAGTCAGTTGTTGTCAAAAAGTCAATGAGAGAGTCCAGATGAAAGGCGGATCCATCAGCGAGAAGGGAAGGTAAAGAGAAAGCAGCGGAGCGAAGACGACGTTGATAAAGTGGGCAGTCCAACAGAATGTGGCTGACTGATAATGGAGCCTGACAATTCTCACAGAGAGGAGCAGGGCGCCTCTCCATGAGATATCCATGAGTAAGATGAGTATGGCCAATGCGAAGACGGGAGAGAGTAGTCTCCCAACCTCGACACTGGTGACAAGAAGACGGCCAGTAACCTATACTCGGTTTAATAGATTGAAGTTTGTTACCGAGCATAGTAGACCAACATTGTTGCCAACGGGTGTGAAGGTGGGTAGCTATTGCAGCAAAATAGTCCGTAAATGGAATACCTCTATATGAAACTGGTAGGTCATGTACTGCTGACCGCGCAGCAGTGTCTGCCTGTTCATTGCCCTGTACGTCAACATGACCAGGGACCCAACAAAAAACAATATCTTAATGCTTGGTAAAGATGCGGCGTAGCCAAAGTTGGATACGAAGGACTAAGGGGTGAGGTGTATCAAATTTCTGTATAGCCTGTAAAGCACTAAGGGAGTCTGAGACAACCACAAATGATGACACAGGCATAGATGCAATACGGATAAGTGTTGCAAGAATGGCATACAATTCAGCAGTAAAAATACACCTACCATCCGACTTACGAACTGCTCGACATACGTCCACTCGACTTACGACCGAGTGGACTTACGACCGTGCATCTGGCAGCTGGGCTGGGCCGGCTGATGCACACCACTGTACAATATTTGACAACACTCGCGGCGGCAATGTGTCATGCAGGCAGCATCAGTTTGAGTAACCCTGTCCTATCAGCAGTATCATACTGTATTAACTGTACTAACTGGACAGTAAATTTCACCATGGCCCCTAAGATGAAGTCTGAATCTTGCACTGGAGATTGTGGCAAGAAAGGCTTTTACTCTCGAACTCTCTATTTGTTTTCACTGTTGCACATACACCTGTCTGTATCTGTCTGCCTGTATATCTGTCTGTATCTGTGTGTGTCTGTTTGTCTGTCTACTAGTGTGTCTGTCTTTCTGTCTACCTGTGTCTGTCTTTCTGTCTACCTGTGTCTTTCTGTCTACCTGTGTCTTTCTGTCTACCTGTGTGTCTGTCTTTCTGTCTACCTGTGTCTGTCTTTCTGTCTACCTGTGTCTGTCTTTCTGTCTACCTGTGTCTGTCTTTCTGTCTACCTGTGTGTCTTTATGTCTACCTGTGTGTCTTTATGTCTAACTGTGTGTCTTTATGTCTACCTGTGTGTCTGTCTTTCTGTCTACCTGTGTGTCTTTCTGTCTATCTGTGTCTGTCTTTATGTCTACCTGTGTCTGTGTCTACCTGCATGTCTGTCTACCTGTGTGTCTGTCTACCTGTGTGTCTGTCTACCTGTGTGTCTGTCTACCTTTGTATCTGTCTTTCTGTCTACCTGTGTGTCTGTCTCAGAGCCACTCATTAAGAGTGTACTTGGTCTTGAAGACGCCATATTAATAATGATAATAATAATCACTGAGGCGCATTAAATGTGTATAAAACGTTAATATAGACATTTTGCTTAATCCATCTATGATTTTTTTTTCAAAATTATATAATAAACATGCTTCATAACATATAAATTAACAAATATGAGATGTTTTTCTGGTCGGCTTGACAGTGAACAGGAATCGTTCGTGTCCGGGCTGGTAACAACAACTTAATAATATAGCTTAATAATAATAATATTAATGTTAGTACATATGTATTATTGTAATAATAATGATTATTAATATTATTATTAATTTAGGGCACTGTAGCACAGATCCACTGTATAGAACTTTGTCTGGATTTTTTGGGTTATCCTAGGTAATTTATAATATGTATGATAACTTGACTTACGTGTACCTGTGAGAGAGAGAGAGAGAGAGAGAGAGAGAGAGAGAGAGAGAGAGAGAGAGGAGAGAGAGAGAGAGAGAGAGAGAGAGAGAGATACAAAGAGAGAGATACAAAGAGAGAGATACAAAGAGAGAGATACAAAGAGAGAGATACAAAGAGAGAGATACAAAGAGAGAGATACAAAGAGACAGCCACATTCGGTCAGCCAGTCAGCCAACTACCCACCCACCCATCTAGCCACCCACCCACCCATCCAGCCACCCACCCATCCAGCCACCCACCCACCCACTCATCCAGCCACCCACCCATCCAGCCCACCCACCCATCTAGCCACCCACCCACCCACCCATCCAGCCACCCACCCACCCACCCATCCAGCCACCCACCACCCACCCACCCACCCAGCCAGCCACCCACCCACCCAGCCAGTCACCCACCCAGCCAGCCACCCACCCGGCCAACCACAGACCCGGCCACCCAGCCGGATACGTATTACACATGTTCCAGAGTTGTTTCTCTTTACTTAGGGTATAGGTTACACAACATTCTGGCAGAATGACACTACCAGTGGTATTCTCCCATTCCACTGTGTCGACAATACATAAAGATAATAGTAACATATGACACTGTATGCGATGTAAAATTTACAATACATATCACTACCATGTATACATTATATACAGTATATAAATAATTAAAATACAACAATAGAAGTGAATTATGGTAAAAAGAATGAAATAATGATTGTATATTACATTACAGTATTATGTAGGTAGTTTATATAGGAAAGTTGTGACATTATGCCCTACCCAATATGTCGGCAATTTTCAAAGGTTCGACTTATGTCCATTTCGACTTACGACCGGTTGGTCAGAACCAAGCTTGGTCGTAAGTCGGATGGTAGGTGTACTATCCGAAGATAGTAAATGCCCTCGTACGACGCTGTCCGGAAACACTGCTGCGAATCCTACGCCGGAAATAAGTCACTCTGTCTGACTTTTTTGGGTTATCCTAGGTTCTCTACACATATGCTGCTATGTATGATAATTCTATGTAACTGTATTGTGTATACCTGAATAAATTTACTTACTTACTTACTTACTTACTTAGAAGACTTAAGAGCCATCTGTGTATACTGCAATGGCATGAGAATGAGAGTGGAAGTGGTCAAGAAAAAGAGAGTGGGAAGCAACCGTAGACAGTTGGGCTTTCGAGCAAGGGAGAGAGAAAAAACAGACTCGAACAGCTGGAACTTCCCAGGGGGGTAGGGAAAAGTGAACATAGAACATAGAAAGTAAACATGAACATAGAAAGGTGGTAATTGAAGAGAAGACAAGAGCGAATGTAGGCGAAGAGAGAAGGGACGGAGTAAACAGGGGCGGCGAACAAATAAAGAATGTCTACTAATATCAGTGACCATTCTATAAATGGAAGGATTGCGGAGATCATGAGAGCGTACATAGTAGCGAAGGCAATGGGCATCACGGCGATCGGATAAGGATGGAACGTTCGCTTCTGCATAGAGGTTCTCAACAGGGGAAGAGCGAAAAGCACCAAGGCATAAACGTAATCCTTGGTGATGAATGGGGTTAAGGTTAGAGAGAGTAGGAGGAGAAGCCGCTGAATAGATCTGGTCACCATAATCAAGTTTCGATAAAATGAGGGTGGAATGTAGGCGAAAGCTGAATCTCAGCACGAATCCCTTATTTTACATTATGCCGAGTTTGCTATATGTATAACTCACATAATCGTAATAACATGTTTGCAAACAAATCACAGAACGAATTTGTGGTCACAGTGGGGTCCATGCTATCTTCCCTATGGTGTAAAGAAATATACCTAGTTGGATGAATCTTATTAGAGCCACCTGGCCCAGTGGTTAATGCACTGGCCAGTGAATTTTAAGACTCACTTGCCATGGGTTCAAATGCTACTCATTCTGTGATTTGTTTTATTTACTTCATGTAAAGGAACATCTGTATTTGTCAAAGGGTAGTTCTTCATCACAAGATACAAATCACTGCAAACTGTTCATACCATCTTCGTTAAAAGCTCCAAGCTGTATCAGATGCTCCAGGTCCATCATGGTAATGTCACTTCTCTTTTTCCCTTCCCGCCACATCTTCAACATTGCTCTTGTGATATCTGGCCCTCCGGTGTTACTTAAGAAGATGAATACAGACTTCCTATGATGTATAATGCAATTTTTAGATGATAAAATAATAGAGGACTGTTACAAAGCAAAATTTATATGCTAAAGTTCATAGAGAATACTTCTGAAACATTCAGAGGCCTTAAAATGCAACTGGATTAATTCTGTTAAATAGCTTCCTTCAATTTTTTATTTATTTATTTTGTACAAAAATTTACCTGTCTCATCATCCTAAGTAAAATGTTTATGCTCAATCTAGCCACAACTGTAGAAACTGATACAAAAATTAAGTAAATTACGTGGTACAGCATATGTAATGGAAATAAAATAACAGGATTAACAATATACCTGAAATCTACTCCATTGATGGATTCATGGTAGTCAATGAAAGGTTTGATGCCATTAATCATACCAATTGGCATCTTGTCGATCTCATCGAAGATAAAGAGACTTCTCTCACACTTGCTGACATTGCTGCGTATCCAGTCTTGCAAATTCAGCTGTTAAAATGAATCTATTAATCTTACATTATCTTGTGGAATTAACTTTCATTAATGAATATCAAGCATTCAGTATTTAGTGTGTGACTGTGTTTTTCAATGCCTATTCCTTGAAAGAAATTGAAGAAAAGGGGAAAAAGGCAAATCTGAATATGAAAATTGTAGTCTATTATCACTCCTACAATTCCTCCTATTACCACAATTCTTCCTCCTCCACCTATTACTCCTATTACTACTACTATTACTCCTACTACTACTGCTCCTACTACTAGTGACTCAACAAAGGTCCAGGATGGACCAAAACATCATCACAAGGGCAGGATTTTGGTAAACTGTTCCTGCCATGGCATTGTGACTCTAGCCTTTCTTGTCTCAAGGCACTTAAAGTTCATTTAAAATTGAACCTTTAATGGGATACTAGAATCATAAAAGTCAGCACTTGTGTGTAAAAAAATATGTAAAATGAATGAGGACTGTCTTGACAGCAAATGTACAAGTTTAAGTCATTCAAAAAGGTGACAATAATATGAAATTTCTGAGTTTTTCCTTTCTTTTAAAATAATAATATTTTCCCTAATTTTTGGCTAAAAAAAATGCTTTGAAAGAAGAGGGAGAAAAAGAAAATGACTAAAAATACAATAGAACAGTACGTATTCAGTGAAAGCTGAAAATATAGCAAAATCCTTAAGTGGTGATACATACAATGTGAAGCATAACCAAAGAGCCGTCAACAAGAAAGAAATATGTTTTTCAACTCTTAAAATAAGTGTATAAGAAAATCAGTAGAATGAAACAGTCTTGTGTCATGGATCCATTACAATCTGTAGAACATGTAATGATTCATTATTTTTGTTTTATAGCACACTGGCCATCTCCCACCGAGGTAGGGTGAGCCAAACTTCAAATAGAGAATTTCTCTTAACTCCCATTACATCACCATAGCTTACATCTTTGATTTCTTGTGTCATTTCACATTATATTGTACATACTACTGTACTAGTTTCTTATTTGCAGTTAGTTTTTCATGAAATTTTGGCAGCATACTCTTCACTGGATATGAAGATTCTTTGCAGCATCCATTTCCAATATAAGTTAATCAATCTTCACTTTGTTAACTTAATTCCTTCCCAAAATTATTCCCAAATAAATAATTTTTTTATTCATATCAGCTGCTTTGCATATTTATGCCAAAAAGCTTTGCCTCTGCTTCTGCTAATCATTTAGAATGAAAGAACATGTTTTCAGATGTGTATCACTCGTGCGATTTTGACTGCATACACACCTTGTAAATATCAGCCATACGTTCGTGAGGGAAATGCACAGTACTGACGAACACATGAACATACTGACTCTTCATGCCCAGCTTGTACATGCTCTCGGCAATGAACTTGGAAACGTAATTCTTCCCTCCTCCTGTCCATCCATGAAAGCTCATTACTAGAGCCTGTATATATATAAGGATAATAATAAAATTATATAACCTATAAAAGATTAAAATATTAAAAAATAAACTTAGTACTGTACTATATCTGCAACATTAACTCAATAAAATACTCTGCTTATTGAAATAAATAATGATATATATGTACTTCCTAAAATATGAATAATTACTATAGTACATGTACTAAGTACAAAAGTTAGATTTGTGAGAAAACATTTTGAAATTTGCCATTTAAGTATCATTTGAACACATAAAAGTGTCAGTAGCATCAACGTGTACTTTTTGTGACCTTTTTCCTACTAATTTCTGAAGAAAAAGAAAATATGAATTGATTCTTAAATAAAAAACAAATGGTAACATTAAACAGTAATTACCAAATATCCTTATTTTTTACAGGTGAAAACTCCCTAGAAAATTCACATTCATAGAAAACTCTATTACCACCTTATATAGCATTACCTTTTGGGGCTGTTTATTTAATAGATGAGCCTTCAGGGCCCTTGGAACAACGTGATGAACTAAATGCTGGCCATATAGATTTGAATCCAGAGCAACAGTCAAAGCTGAAAGCACAATAACTTTTATGAGCAATAGGCTCTCAACTAAAAAAAACAAAAAGTTTCATAAATAATAACTGAATCAGAGAGACCATTTGGTTTCGTTACATACTGTATATAATTCCTCTTAGTTGATCATAATATTTTTTTAACATATCGGCCATTTCCCACCAAGGCAAGGTGACCCAAAAATGAAGAAACGCATTCATCATCACTCATTTCATCACTGTCTTGCCAGAGGTGCGCCGATACTGCGAGTCAAAAACTGCAACATATATTTCACAAAGCAGCGTGGATACCCTGGTTGAATTATTATATTATTAATAATATTTTAACATTCATGGGGAAGTGCTAAACTGAGAAGGGTCATACAGTGCCTGAGGAATGGGAGGTAATCAGGTTTGATCCAAGAATTACTACACTGCAGAACAATCAAAGGCACTTCTCAGTGCCAACAACAACATAACTATCTTTAACTACAATATCAGATCTTTAAGCAAGCATTACGATGACCTCATAGCATTACTAAATTCCTTACATGCCAATATGTCCATCATTACACTAACTGAAACCTGGCTAAAGCCTGATAGTACAGATGTCTATGCCATTCCTGGTTACACAGCCATACACAACTGTAGGCCAGACCAACAAGGGGGTGGCACAGCCATATACTACTCAGACCAACTACAATGTATCACTAATACTTGCACAAGGGATGAAACATGGGGAATATATAATAGCTAAATTCAAATCCAAGTACCTACAAAAACATCTCACATTGATAAACATCTACAGAGTTCCACAGTCAAACATTAGCCAATTTAGTCAAAAATCTAGGAAGTATGATAACTGATGCACGCATGAACAAAGATCACTTACTACTCTCAGGTGATTCAATATAAATCTCCTGCAAGACCAGGACCCACACGTTACTGAATTCACAAACACAATGAGTAACTGTATGTTACTACCAACAGTAACAAAACCTACAAGAGTTACAGGGACTAGTGTTTCCCTATTTGGGCCACATCTGGACCAAAACCATTTCCCCTTTAAAATCAGGCTTAATTAAGTTTAATCCACAGACCATACCCTATTTTCCTCATAAAAAACCTTTTGGGGTAAACTCCCCCCAAGACACTACTAAAGTCCCCTTTCAGACTTCACAATGAGGAAAGCCTTTAAAACCCTTTGGGGGTTTTTTCGTCGTATAGTGGTTTTTAAGCGTGGGGGTTTTTTGACGTCCTAGTACTCAAAAATTTCTAGGGGCCCTCAAATTTAGTGGGAGGGGGGGAAAGGGTGGTGGGCCCTTATATGAAGAATGGGTCTATGGGGTCATTTGTGCCAGTCAAAAAAAAAATTTCCTGCAGCACACAGTGCATAATGAGAAAAAAAAATTTTTTGGACCTTTTTTTTTTTAAAAATCAGCGACTTTCCCGTGTATTTTCTTTTATGGTTTTTTATTGTTGTATTCTAGTTTTTTTGGTCTCATTTTATAGAAGGGAAGGGACATATTACAAAAAATTGGGTTTGATTTTAAAGGGTTTTTTAGAAAGAAAGGTCCCTTAAAAATTGGGGCTAAAAGTAGCGGGAAATGTTCGATTTTTACAAAAAATTCAAAAGTAAAAAAAATTTTTTGCCAAGCGTGAAATACACTTTCAATGGTGATTTAAATTATTTTTTACAAGTCCCCCAAATTTAATTTTTTAATACATTTTTTACACAAATGCGGGTGTCGCAAAAACAGAAATCTTTATTTTTTGTGAAAATAAAAATTCAATGGGGGAAAGCAAAAGAATTAAGGGGGGCCTTGAGACGACAAAGGGGATTTAGGGGAAAATGTCTTTTAGTCCCGGAAATGTTTTTCTTGTTTATTCGGGCCCCCTTTATTTTGGAAAATTGGGCCATTTTTTTGAAATTTGTGTGAAAATTGGCAAAATTGCTAAATTTGACCACTGGTACTGGATATTTTAAATTTTTTTTAAATTGGGGGTTTTCTTTCCCCCAATTCGATAAAAAAAAAAGGGAAAGTTCTAGCAAAATATTCAGGGTTTTTTGGGGGGGGGATTTGTACAGTAAAAATTGGCCCGGGAAAAAGGGGGGCTCAAAGTGGGAAAATCCCCGATGCGTAAACATCGCCGGGGGACCGCTAACTTTGCGAGGGGGGCCAAAATTTCCCGTAAGTTTTCAAATCAAATTTCAAATTTTTGGGTTTGTCTTTTTGATGGGAAAAAAAAGATTTTTTATTTTTTCCCTAGGAAAAAATTTTTTTTTTTTTTTTTAAAATTTTGGGTTGACCCTGAGAACGATTTTCGGAGAGGGCCTGTGGGACCCTCAAAGGGTTAATTAAAATTCAACGGGAAAAAGAAAGCAAACTTTGTTTGGGAACACGAGCTAGAAACCTATAAGATGTTGACAAAAATGTTTTTTAATAATTTTCAAAAAAAAAACCCCAAAATCCCTCTATAAAAAGGCCCTGCCCAAAAAAAAAACTAAACAGATGACAGAAAAAGAGACGAAAGTCCCTGGCAAACACCCCAGCATTCTAAAATTCCTTTAAATTACAAAAAAAAACCCCAATATAAAAAAACAGTCCCAAAAATGGGTACATAACCAGAGCCCAAAAACCAAAACGTTACCTTTCAACCCAAAAAACCCCCTGATAAAAAGGGCCCAAAAAAATTTTTATTATGGGGAAAAGATTACCCAAACTTCCGGGGGGTTGATTTTAAAAAAGCCCGGGAAAAAAACCCTATTTGAAATTCTGGGAACAAAAAAGATATCACAAAAATAGCGAAAAAAAATTGGCAAAATAAGAAAACCCCCAATCCCAAAACAGAAACGGGCAAACGGGACTCAATGTTTTCTTTCCCACTTTGGCCCAAAACCTTTGCCAATAAAACCCAAAGTCAGTTTCCCCCAAATGACTACCTCCCCGGCAATACCCGAAACCACGGTTCCTAGCTGGGGACTAACCCATACGAAGTCTCCCTTATTTTTAAACGCACAAAAAAAACAAGGCGGAGATTTAAATCCCTTTACCCCCCCTTTATATACAAAAATTGTCAAAAGGGTGCTACACCAATCTTGCAACACTCTTTAAAAAATCCATTGAAACCCTCCCCCTTTCCCCTCCAGTACTCAAAATAGAAAGGGGTTTCCCCCGATCCAAAAAAGGGGGGAGACCAAACAGAGTTGAATAAATATAGGCCCAATACCCAAAACTTAACCCTTCTCAAAAATTTTTGAAAAAAAAAAATTTCTTTAAACGAATCTATTTCCTCCCTTACCCCCAAAAAACATACTAAACCCCCTAAAAATTTGGATTCGGGCCCTAATAAAAATACTAATGATGCTTTTTTATAAACATGCTAAAAACATATATACACTCCCAATTTGGGAGAAAAAAAAAGTCCACTGGGGATCTTCTTTGGGATTAAAGAAAATTTTTGGATCAGTTGCCCCATGACTTGCTCACGAAAAAATTGTACATAGGGTATAAGAGGGCACCCCCTAAAATACCAATTTCATCCCTCAGCAAAAGAAAATTTTGGGTACGCAAAGGGGGCAAACTCTTTGGGGAAACCCAAAATTACATTTGGGTTTGCCCCCGGGGGAAGTGCCCCTTGGGCCCCTCTTCTTTTTCCCCTTATACTAAAGGGCCCTTTCCCAAATGTTCGAAATTTACCAAAAACCCCCCATTTTTTGAAGTTACACAAATACGTCTTCTCTAAAACCCGACCCCATTTCCGAAAGCCAATACTTTTAAATACCGAATTACGAAAATTTTCTACCGGATGGGGGACTAAAAAACTTCCCTTTTAAACTTTGGAAAAAACCTACTTCATTCATTTTGGTTTAACGAGCTACAGATCCCCCTTTAACTTTTAATGTTTAAAGGATCACCTACCCCAAAAAAACAAAACGGGGGAAAAATTCTTAGGAATCCCCCCCTTTGGGATAATGATAAATTTTTCATCAATAAAAAAAACAAATTTCTAAAAAAATTTCCGGGGTGTAGGTTTTACTATCGAAGTTACGGTACTATGTTCCACGGTCAGCCCCCCGGGCCCCAATATCACTCTTTTTTTCCCCCTTTTTCTCACCTATGGAATTTGTGCAGGGGTTTCAAAAAAATTAAAACCATCCCCAGCCACAAATTACTCAAAAAAAGGCCCTGCAGTTAAAAATGATAACAAATTCCACTACAGGAAAGCAAAACTCCACCAATATTAAAAACACAAAAACCTATTCACCATACAAAAATCCATACTTATTATCCCACCTATTCAACATAAAAACACTTAACTCTGATAAAACCACCCCTCAAACATCCCTTGGGCCAATCTAAAATCAGACCCCATGACCATAACAAAAAGGCACGATAAATCTTTGATGTTCCTTTTTGTCCATCTCACACTTTTGCAAAAACCCCAATGCACAAAAAAAAGGCCCCTAAAATCGGGAAATTATTCCCCCTGTAATAAAAAGAAACACTACCTTTTTTTAAAAAATTCAAGTTTTTCTCAAAAAATCACTTACTCAAAAAAAACCCAAAATAAATTGAAAAACCCAAAACCTTAAAAAGGGGGTATATTTTAAATGTTTCTCACAAAAAATTTTTTCACATAAAGGGGTTAACCTTTAAAAACCCAACAAACTTTATTATTTTTTAAATACATACCAAAACAGAATATCCATAGGGGCCCCCTAAATTGTACAACAATGCAAGAACCATTGGGCCTGTCTTTGTAATACTCATTGACTAAATTTTAAACTGTTACATTATGTTTTATCTGATTTATCATTGCTTAGTTAATTTAAGTTAATTTTTTGCCAGCCCGTTAAAAATATGCATGATAAGTGGCTTTGGCATACTGTCTTTATGTATTTTTTTTTTACCTTGTATGTGTGCTAAATTGGAAATAAAAAATAAATAAATAAATGAGGGCAGATCTTAATTCCCTTTAAAACCGATCCTTCACCAGTATCGAGACACCACCCTC